CTATGAGGTAAACACTGTGCTGGACATACTTTGTATACCTTATCTCTTTTAATTATTACCTGCCTTTGATGAAACATCGCATCCTGTCAATTCTACCTCTAAGATGTCTCCAGATATTAACCTTCTTCCCATTCTTGCTTTTGTTACTTCCCACCTGGATGATTCCAGAAACCTCCTAATTATTCTCCAGGCCTCAATTCCAGACCTTTCTATACAGTTTTTATATTACTGTTAGAAAGATATTTCTGTGTAGCATATCTGATCGTATTGTTGCCCTCTGAAAAAAAACTTAGTTGATTATATGTCCTCTACCAGACTATGAACTAAGAGCAGAGAGTGGCCCCACTTATTTTTGTGTTTTCACATAGTGGGTTTTTAGTGTTTGGTGGATGGATCTTCCTCAGGACAACCCTGCTGATTAGGTGGCAACAGATCTGCTAGTTAACTAGCAGCACATTTATCTGCCTTGGGTAAGTGCTCCAGCTCCAGTCCGGTCAGCGCTTTTTCAAAAAGGAACATTACAGTTGATATTTTCTTCAGAGCCTCTCAGAATATGGGTTTGAACCACTGTGCAGAGATAAGCTTGTTTGGTTGCAGATACCAGTACATTGATAATAAAGGTTTTTTATTTATTCATTTATTTTTTATTTTTTATTTTTATCTTCACTCGAGGACATTTTTTTGTTCAGATAGAGCGGGAAGGAGAGAGAGAGAGAAACATCGACGTGAAAGGGACCCATCGAGTGGCTGCCACCCCCACGACCCAACCAGGGCCGGGGACAAACTGCAACCGAGGTACATGCCCTTAGCGGGAACCGAACCCGGGTCTCTCTGGACCGCAGGCCGACACTCTGACCACTGAGCAAAACCCGCCAGGGCGATAATTAAAGGTGTTTTTTGTTTTTTTTTAAAGCAACCATTTTGTCTTATTCTTCTTACTGGTTATGATCCAGTGAGGCTTCTGCAGCTGAATGGAATCAGCAAGAATTGGGGATAGGAGCTCTGGGTGTCATGAGTGGTAGGTATTGCCTAGTGCTGCAACAGAATATGCTGTGTGGACATGTTTATGTGTCTATCTGTACCTGAGTTGATACCATCAGAGCCTATAGGGGGTATATGGAAAGAACCATACTCTCAGCCTAGACAACTCCTGTCTTTTAGGATCCAACTCAGATGTTACTTCCACTCTGAAACTTTCCAAACTCCTCAGGCAGAGTCGGTTTCTACTCCATACCCCTAGTATTTACTTCTGCTAAAGGCCTATTGGTATTATTTTCTTACCTATGTGTCTTTCACTGAACTTCTTTAAAGTATAATCTGAGTGTTATTTTTATATACCCAGGTTTACTACATGATAGGCACTCTTCAGTCACTGGGGAACATAATGTTGATGTTCTTATTCTCATATGGGTGTGGCAGGAAGGGGAGGAGTGCTCAATAAATGTAGAAATCACCTGAATTGATATTCCTAAGTGGAGAACTGAGTAGCCACTTGCTGTTCCTTTGGTGATTTTTCAGGGTGTTGGCGTATGATTTATTGCATATATAACGTTTAGTCACCAACATACATTTATCTATTGAGTGCCTTCGAGGAAAAGAGTCTTTTAATGAAATCTAGTATCAAACACAAATGAAATAGCAGAAACTGTTATATATTTTATTAGAAAAGAGACAGGTTTTGATGTAGGTAAAGTTGAGGAACAGTCACTGAGGGTATTGAAGTATCTAAAGCACATTTGATTGCTTAATATCATAGTTTTCTGAATTTGAAAGTTTAATAGAACAACAATTAGAAATGGAAAATGGAAAAACTTTTTTCTCTGGTAAGTTATGTAAATTTATTGCCAGTGCCCTAGAGTGTTTTGTAGGGCTGCCCACGGGAGTGGTCTGGCAGAAAAAGACAGCAAAGCAGCTGTTATTCTCATCCCAGAAAGCTGAGTGTGCTTGTGCACTTGGTCTTGCCTCTACTTCCCGCAGAGGGATTTGCTCAGGACACACCAGCTGAGTCTGCACTGGGAGTTGCTTATGGGGAAGTGAATGTTCCAACTAATGGGCACACAGTGCGTAGCAACTTAGTAATCTTCCTTGTTGGCAGAACTCAAACTTCCTTTCCTCATAGATGCAAAAGGTCTTGGGACATTGACACATTGTGGTTTCTGAAGGCCCAGAGACTTAACAGCCCCAGCAAAGTCTTCACCAAAGGCCCGCAAGAGAGACTGGTCATAACAATAAACTTCATTTGGTTTCCCTCTCTGGTCCTAGTTTGTACTTTTTCCATCTTGCCTGGAAAATTCAGAGCCTACTAGCTAGTGTGATTTCTCACTTTGTCTCACCTTTCTTTTCTGATCTCCACCCTCTAGCTTGGTCTGTGGATTTCTTCAGAGACATGGCTAAACAGAATAAACATGTTTCTCTGAAGGAGAATGAAAAGTCCTGGCTTAGTCTGGTCTACATAATAGTGCACATGCAGCTTTTTCGTCAGTCTTTTCTGCCTGGTCTCAGTTGGGAAACCTGAGTGTGGCTCCTAAAGTCAGGCCTTCCTTGTTACATTGTCACCATGCCAAAAAAGTGGACCCCTTCAGATCTTTCTGACTCTGAGAACTAAAGACATGTGTCTGGATGATTAGGTTATCAGCTTTATTGCTCCCATGTAGCTTGGAGTTTGCAGGTTAAGTTTCTTTTTAGCAAATGAGCATTTCTAATGTGATCTGTGGACAGATTCAACTGGAGTGAAGAAATGAAGGCACTGTGCTGATGCCATCAGTATGCCTCATTTTGAGATTTCCAAAGATGGATTATCAAGCAGGATGAAGCAGATCGACAGGTTTTCCTTTTGAGAACTGAGGAGTATTTTTAGCCATTCTCTCTTGCCAAACCAACCTGATCCGCCTCATCCAAGAATCTGAAGTGCTGCATTGTGCTGCCCCCAACTGGTTCTTTTGGTGCTTAATGTTAACACATCAGAAAATCTCAGATTATGTGGCACTTAAAATTTTTCTAAGCATTTTCATCTATTTTTATTAGATTCTCATAATAATATTATGAGTTATATGGGTCATAGATGATCATACCTACTTTATAGGTGGGAAAACTGAAGGATAGCCTTATTAGTTGATTTGTCCAAGTTAAATGACTATTAAGAGGCAGAATTGTACTAAAATTCCGATCTCTTGCCTCCTATTCCCTCCTATTCCCTCATTAGATTCCCTAGTCTTTTGTAAATTCAATAATACCCCCCCATAATAGGTATTAAGAGCTTAATTTTAGGCTTGGAGGAATTTGCTCCTTTTTCTCCTTTGGAAGGAGGAAGGAGGTAATACTACATCATGTAAGGTTTGCATAAATTCAAAACTTTGAGCTCTTGTACTGCATGAGGCTCTCTGACTTGGATGCTGCAGCCTCTAACTCTTCAGTGTCATGCAGTGGTAAAGAGCATGGATACTGGAGCCAGACTGCTTGGGTTTGAACACTGGTTCTGTTCTCTAATAATTAGGTATCCTTAAGCAAGTTTCTTTTTTTGTTTTGTTTTGTTAATCTTCACCCAAAGATATTTTTCCAATTGATTTTCAGAGAGAGGGGAAAGAGAGAAACATTGATGGGAAAGAGACACATCGATTGGCTGCCTCACACTTGCGCCTCAAATGGGGCCGAGGATCGAACTTGCAGGAATCTAACCTGCAACCCTTCTGTGCACAGGTGGTGCTCTAACCACTGAGTAATACTGGCCAGGGCCTTGAGAAAGTTTCTTAACCTATAAGTGCCTTTTGTAAAAGGAGGATAATAGCACACTTTACCTCATAGGGTTATGTGCAGGTTAAATGAGATAATTTTAAATTCTTAGAATAGTGGCACAAAGTAAGCACTATATAAATAAATATTAGCTGCTGTTATTATCATCTGTATATAAATATACTTATTTGCTCTTTAAAAAATGAAAAGCAAAGCAGCCCTTCATGGGTATGTAGGAATGATGAATAGCCAAATTTCTTTTAAGAGTACATCTTATGTAGTTTCTTCATAACTTTATCTCCTACTCACTCTTCAATTCACTTTGGTCTTTTTTTTTTTATCCTCACCCAAGGACATTTTTTCCAATAGACCGGGAGGGAGAGAGGGAGGAAGAGAGAGAGAGAGAGAGAGAGAGAAAGATCGATGTTGAGAGAGACACATCGACTGGTTGCCACCCACACAGTCCCAACCAGGACCAGGGACAGACTGCAACCGAGGTACGTGCCTTTAGCAGGAACCGAACCTGGACTCTCTGGTCCGTGGGCCGACGCTCTAACCGCTGAGCAAAACCAGCCAGGGCTCACTTCGGTCTTACTCTGGTTTTAACCACTTTAGTGCAAGTGTTCTGGCTATGGTTGCCAGTGACTTCCTAGTTACAAATTCGGTGGACATTTTTAATGCTCATCTTACTTGATCTATAGTATTTGATACTTTTGGTATTTCCTTCTTTGGAATATTCTCTTTGACTTCTGTGATGACATTCTTGCTTGGTTCTTCTTTTCCTGCCTGCCCCTTTAAATGTTAACCTCTGTTAACATTTTAACCCCTGGGCAATTTCATACATTCCTTGGCCTCAGTGACTACTTTAGCTCAGTGTTATTGCCTCATAAATGTTAGTCTCTAGTCCAGACTTTGTTCCTGAACTTTAAACAACTCTTTATAGGACATCTCAACCTTGGTTGTCCCACAAGCCTTTAAACTCAGTATGTCCTAGCTGAACTATTTTTTTTTTTTTCATTTATCTTGAGATTGAGTGGAAGGGAGAGAGGGAGGAAGAGAGAGAAACATCGATGTGAGATAGACACATCAAGTGGTCGCCACCCACATGACCCCAACTGGGGCCAGGGACAAACTGCAACCGAGGTATGTGCCCTTAGCGGTAACCAAACCCAGGACTCTCCGATCCGTGGGCTGATGCTCTAACCACTGAGCAAAACTGGCCAGGGCAAGAACTCCTATCTTTTAACATTGCTTCTTATTCTGAAAACCTGCTTCTCTCCCTGTATTCTGGATATTTAATAATGACATCCAGAGACCAGTAGCTTGGGATCAATTTATAGCTTTTCATTGCCCTCATCCCCCATATCCAGGCAGGCATCAAGTTTAAAAAAATACTTGTGCCCTGGCCGGTTTGGCTCAGTGGTTGGAGCATCAGTCTGCAGACCAGAGAGTCCTGGGTTCGGTTCCTGCAAGAGGTATGCACCAAAAAAAATAAAAATAAATAAAAATAAATGTTTGTATTGATTTTTTTAGAGAGAGAGGAAAGGAGAGGGAGAAACATTGATGTGAACAGGAGCCATCAATCAGCAGCTGCCTCCTGCACGCCCCCTACCAGTGATCAAACCTGCAAGTCCGGCATGTGTACTGACTGGGAATCGGATCAGTAACCTTTCGGTGCATGGGAGGACACTCAACCAACTGAGCCACACTGGCCAGGGCTCTAAGTACATCTTGAATTTTGCTCTGTTCCATTGCCTCCATAATTGCCTTAACTCAAACACCCTTCTTTCACCAGGATTATTGCAATAATATTCTATTTCCCTTCTCCATATTCTCCACTCTGATCCATCTATCATACCATTGCTAAAATAACCTTTTCTTTAAAAAGCAAATATGAAATGTTACTCTTCTGCTTAAAAAGCTTTTCTTTTGTTCCCTATAGACAAGGTAAAGCCTATGTATCTTAGCAAAGCATATCAACCTCCTCTGCCTCTCCTGGCCATATTGAGTACATTAGTTTTCTGTATGCACCATGCACTTAACCTATATCTTTGCATATGCTACTCCCTCTGTGTGGACTTCTTTTCTGCTCCTCCATGTTATTCTTTTGACTTCCTATTTCCTTTGTGACATTTCCTCTGACATGTTCAGATTGAGTTAGTAACTTTATTCTCTACACTGCATAGTGCTGTGGTACATGGACAAAGCTATATTTTAGCACTTACCAAATGATATTATTTTCCCATATCCCTTAATAGATTGTGACCTCCTTAAAGGAAGATATCTTTGTATGTAGCACCTACTGTAGTGTCCAGATGCAGAATAAGCGCTCAGTCACTTAAACGACAACAACAAACAAAACATACAGTCTCTGTCTTCTAAGTGTTTACTTTCTTTTTTTTTTTTAACTTTTTTTTTTATCCTAACCCGAGGACATTTTTTGATATTTTGTTCAGATAGAATGGGGGGGAGAGAGAGAGAGAGAGAGAGAGAGAGAGAAACACTGACATGAAAGGGACACATCGAGTGGTTGCCACCCACACGACCCAACCAGGGCGGGGGACAAATTGCACCTGAGGTATGTTCCCTGTTCCTTTAGCAGGAACCAAACCCGGGTCTCTCCAGACTGTAGGCCGATGCTCCAACCGCTGAGCCAAACCGGCCAGGGCTAAGTGTTTACTTTCTAATGGTTTAACCACGAGCCTAATATTTCTGACAAATGCTAGCTGGGTTTTCCTTCTGTTTTGCAGTATATCAACTCTGGAAACCTGGAACAGTTGCTAGACAGTAACCTGCATTTGCCCTGGACTGTGAGGGTGAAACTGGCCTATGATATAGCAGTGGGCCTCAGCTACCTTCACTTCAAAGGCATTTTCCATCGGGACCTCACATCTAAGGTACGAAAGCTTTTCTTATACCACTCTTGGAGACACTGTCCTTCCTCCATTACCAAGAAAGCTGTGTTAAGAAACCAGTCATTAATGATGGAGCTCTCTTACAGATTTAACATTGAATCACAGAGGATACAGCTTAACCCTTTGTATAGCTAGTCCTTAGAAAATCCATCTCGGCTTACAGCAGGTACCTTTCAGTGTTGAGCCAGGCAACACATATATCTTGAAAACCATCACACTTTATGCAGGAGCAGATGGCATAAGGAGGGTTAAGAGGTTCTTGCCCAATAGGATGATGGCAGTCAAGACAATGTGGGAGCCTGTGTCTTACTGTTCTCTCTCATGGCCTCCAGGAAGTAGCTCTTAACTGAGAGGAGGAGTTGAGAGATTTTTAGTCACTTGAGTTCAGGTTTTGAGAGCCATAATGTAATGACCCATTTTTCTATCTGTGTGATTGAGTTTCTGCCATTCTGCCAGTTCTTCTTTTGTGTCAGCTGGTCTCTGTAGTATTCTCTTGCTGTCCAAGTTGCTGTGTGACCAGGTTAGAAAACAGTTGCTTTTAGAGGAAGTTGGCCATGCTACAGGAAGGCACCTCAGGGCCAAGTGGCCCAGGATACCACTGGGACAAGGCTTATATAAACAATACTGTCTGATCATTGGTGTGGGGTATATAAGTCATCTAAAATGACTTCTGTCCAAGAGCCGATTTAATGTCATCTAGGGAGGGTTTTTTCCCCCACCCAGCCACGGACAGAAGAAGTTGCATACATGCCACTAGCCATGCAGATCATGCAGGCCCAGCCAGGCTTTTTGAGATGCAACAGAGCCTGTAGTTGAATATGACTGAAGTTTGTCATGATGAATATTTTCCACAAAACTTATCACAGAGGATGACTAAACCCCTAGAGCACAACTGCATGTAACAAGCATATAGGTAGCTTCAGATGAATGTTCAAGTTCTTAGCTGTGGTATTAAAAATTCTTCTTCTCAGGTGTGGCATACAATATTTGGAAGGAAAAACAAAGAATTGGTCAAGAAGACATGAGTTGGCCCTGGCTGGCATGGCTCAGTGGTTAGAGCATTGGCCCATGCACCAAAAGTCTTGGGTTTGATTCCTAGTCAAGGGTGTGTACCTGGGTTGCAGGTTCAATCCCTGGCCTGGTCAGGGCACATGTGGGAGGCAACCAATCAGTGAGTCTCTCTCACATCAATATTTCTCTCTGCCCCCCCTTACTCCCCTCCCTTCCACTCTCTCTAAAAATCAATGGAAAAATATTCTCCGGTGAGGATTAAAAAATAATAATAATAACTGCAAACTGGAGACAGGCTAGGAAGTGCATTTTAGGTAATCTCAGGTTGAAGAAAACCAGGGGAATTTTACAAGCCAGATCATCCAGTAGGAGAGACTCTGTGTTCATTGCCCTTTCATTATCTCTTTTTTATTTATTTTTTATTGATTTTAGAGATAGAGAAATGTCCATTTGTTATTCCACTTATTTATGCATTCACTGGTTGCTTGCTGCATGTGCCCTGACCGGAGTTTGGGCCTGCAACCTTGATGTATCTGGACTGGACAACACTCTAACCAACTGAGCTACCCGGCCAGGGCTTCATCTCTGACCTTTTGTCTGACTGTTTCAGCCTCTTTGTAACTGTGTTGCTGGGATTAGGAAGAAGGTTGTATGTCCACACCTAGGCCAGAGCAGCCCCACCCAGAAGACCTCTATTGTGGTGACAGTGACCATAATAATGAGAAGCCTCAATGGAGAAATAAGGCTAAAGGGATAGAGTAGGGCTTTGAGGTTTCCAGATTATCTCCTCATTGCCAACCTTGGGTGTGAGTTTGATTTCCTTAAGTACAATAGAAGGTTAACTTCATATTATTTGTTTTATTGTGTTGTGTCTCACACCTAGCATAGACCCTGTCAGAGTAGGGACTTCCTGGCCCCTTTTCAGAAAATGCTCTTGATAGTACAGAGGCCAAAACATCTGTTCCAGAGTTAACATTGAGTCCCAGACCCAGTTTTTTTGTTTGTTTGTTTTTGTTTTTTTAATTGAGGGAGAGAGAGAGGAGATTGATTTATTGTTCCACTAATTTATACATCCATTGGTTGTTTCTTGTATGTGTCCTGACTGGAGATCAAACCCACAACCTTGGTGTATCTGGACAATACTCTAACCAACTGAGTTACCTGGCCAGGGCCTCCCAGACCCAGTTTTGTCACATCCCTCCGAATGACTTCAATACTCTATGGGGCCTTGGAGTTCCCAGTCTGTAAAATAGATTCTATCCTTGACCTCACAGGAATCATCAGTCTGGACTATTCAGACCAGAGCTCATAGGAGGGATTTAAAGTAGTATTGAGAACATGTTCCAGGTGGATAAACCAGGACAGAGAAGCAGGTGCCTTTTTTTCCAAATGATCTTGAACCTGTAGTAGAGGCAAAGAAGATCCCTAGTTCCCTATCAGAGTGCCTCCTGAAAGTAACATTGCCTTTGCAGGATTCACACGTCAGTGGTAACTGCAGTACTGTTTTTAACAGTGGAAAGTCTGTCAGAGATAGCTGATAAGTCTAATTTTGTAATTCTTCAGAACCTCCCAGTGGACTGAGCTTTATATTTTGTAGTCTGTCTGGGGCCATGTTCAAGTTGAGTGAGAAATGCAATCATTACACTAGATGCCCTTGGATTAACCCACATTGGAGGTAGCATCCCAAACGAAGGGGTCTTATTGTATTGCCTACACAAAACAGTGCTGCCATCTCTGTGGGCCCCAGTACTGCTGCTATCTTAAAAATGCATTGTTTCTGCAATGGCCTTGCTGTCTCCGTGGAAAGCTTTTCAGCCTGTTCCTCTGGAGAGTCCAAAATCATCAGGTAGAACCTTTTAGAATCAGGAGACCTGGGTTTTTACAAATTACTTATAGTTGAAAGCTTCACTTTTCTCATCTTAAATGTAAAAATTTCAGATATGCCCACCTGAAAGTATTGTTTTAAAGAAGCATTGGGATTGTGTTTGTGAAAAATGTTTTATAATTTCTAGGGTACCACACAGACAGAAGTAGGCAATCTTTCCCTTAGCCAAAGGGCTAGGAAATATTTTCTAGACCTCTTTCCTCTTAAGATAGCCTTGCTTTCCTAAAGTTTATAGTTTGTAGTTTACAGTCAACCAAATAATGTGTCTCTCTCTCATCAATGTTTCTCTCTCTCTCTCTTCTCTACCTTCCTCCCTTCCACTCTATCTAAAATCAATGGAAAAATATCCTCAGGTGAGGATTAACCAAAAAAAAAAAGTATACATTTCAGTGGTTTTTAGTTTATTCAGTCATTACCACTATCTAATTCCAGAACTTGTCATTACTCCTAAAAGAAAACCCTTTATCCTATTCCCTTCTCCCCTCAGCCCTTGGCAACCACTAGTCTATTTTTAGTTTCTATGGATTTACTTATTCTGGACATTTCATATGAGGGGAATCATACAATATGTTATTACTGGCTTTTATTATTTTATTTTTTAAATATGTTTTTATTTATTTTTTTAGAGAGATAGAAACGTTGATGTGAGAGAGACACATCAATTAACTGCCTCCTAGACACCCCCCCACCAGGGATGGAGCCCGCAACCCAGGCATGTGCCCTGACCAGAAATTGAACTGGGACCTCTCCGTCTATGGGATGACACTCAGTCCACTGAGCTACACCAGCTGGGCTATTGCTGGCTTTTATTTTTTTTTTTATTTTTTTTTTTTATCCTCACCTGAGGACATTTTTGCATTTATTCAGATAGAGAGGGAGGGAGAAAGAGGAAGAGAGAGAGAGAAACATCGATGTGAGAGACACATCGAGTGGCTGCCACCCACACGACCCCAACCAGGGCCGGGGACAAACTGCAACCGAGGTACATGCCCTTAGCGGGAACCGAACCCGGGACTCTCCGGTCCGCGGGCCAACGCTCTAACCGCTGAGCCAAACCGGCCAGGGCTATTGCTGGCTTTTAAATAGGGAAGTAACACAGTTAGATTTGCATTAGATATGAAGATCGTGCTGGCAGGAATGAGGAAGATAGATTATGGAGATCAAGACTGGACCAAGCCACAGAGACCAGTTAGAAGAGTATTGCAATATTCAGGGGAGGAATGAAGAAGACCTGAACTGGGGCAATAGTAGTAAGGATGAAAAGGGAGGGACTGATTTGAAAAACATTTAGAAGCAAAAATTAGTTGGAGTGAAAGTAAAAATCTAGGATAAATCCTAGGGTTCTAGCTTAGCAAACTGGATGGAAAATGGTGGTACCAGCTGACATAAAAAATATAGCTCGATTTTTAGTTCTTGGGAGAAAATGTTGAATTTAGGTTTGCATGTATGGAGTTCAATATGAGTAACCCAGGAGATGGCCAGAAATAGATGGCCTGTCTAAATCTACAGTTTGAGGATCAAGGTCAGGGCTGAGGATATACATTTTGGAGTCATCAGCACAAAAGTGGTAATTAGAAAAGAAATGTGGACTAGCCTCCACAAAAGAGCACAAGAGCTGTAGGCCTAAGATAGAACCCTGAGAGCATCATCCTCATGTGATGAAGAGCCTGCAATGGAGTCTGCAGAGTAGCCAAAGATAGAGAAGGAAATCCAGAATTGTAGTTGTCATAGAAACCAGGAGAGCCCTGGTCATTTTGGCTCAGTTGGCAGAGTGTCATCCTGTGCACTGAAAGGTCACTGGTTCAATTCCTGTTCAGGGCACATGCCCAGATTGTGGGCTTGACCCAGTCAAGGTGCATGCAGGAGGCAACCAATTGATGTTCTCTTTCACATCAATGTTTCTCTCTCTCTCTCCCTCTCTCCCTAAAATCAATAAAACCATATTTGAAAAAAAGAAGCCAGCCCAGCTGGTGTGGCTCAGTTGGTTAAGCATTGTCCCATGTACCAAAAGCTCGCTGGTTTGATTCTGGGTCAGGACACACACTCAGGTTTTGGACTCTACCCCCAGTAGTGGGTGTGCAGGAGGCAGCTGATCGATGTTTCTCTCTCATCAATGTTTCTTTTTTTCTTTTTTTTTAAATCTCACCGGAGGATATTTTTTCCCCATTTATTTTCAGATAGAGTGGGAGAGGGATAGATAGCCTCTAATAGCTAATCTGTTAGCTCCAGGACCCCAACTGATTATTCTCTGCATTCCTCGTACTAATACAATTCCTGAATGATACCTAAAAACACTGACAGAGGTAATCAGCAATGTTAACAGCAGAAAGATCAAGTATGTAAGCGCTATTTCTGTCTATTAAACTTAATGCCATGAAATTTACTGGGATCCACCATGATAATAATACTTCCAGCAGAAGCCAGTGAAGAATGAATGGGAGCCCAACCGGGTGTGGCTCAGTGGTTGAGTATTGACCAATGAATGCACCCAGAGGTCGCCAGTTCGATTCCAGGTCAGGGCATATGTCTAGATTGTGGGATCGATCCGCAGTGAGGGGTATGCAGGAGGCGGCCAATCGATGTTCTTTCTCATTGATGTCTCTATTTCTCTCCATTTCCCTTCCTCTCTCTCTAAAATCAATGAAAAAAAAAAAAAAGAATGAATGGGAGATTCATTGGGTGTTCATGCTCTTGTGTGAGATGTGCCTCCCACAAACCTTGTTAAGACTTTAGCACATTACCTGTCGTGAATTTAGAAGGAAAAAGAAAAGGATGAATGGGAGATAAAGAAGTAAAAACAGCAGGTGTTGCCAAATAAACCTCTCTAGCCTGGACCCTGTGAAGGGCAGTCTCAGGAGTTTGTTGGAAAAACCAACAGGGACTAATTCTGGTCTTGGTTTCTCATTTTCCTTATTACCTCAGATTCAGACTCCTAAAGTTGGACTCTTTTGGTTTTCAGTATCCCATCTTTGTCTTCGGTTCTAATGCCTTGTTATTGGCTATAGAGAAGCTTTAAGAGGGACTCTGGTTACACTGCAGATTGGAGGCAGATGCCACCTTGCCCCATGTTATAAGGCTCTGATCACCCCTGCTTTAGCCATTTGTCAGCTACTCGGAGAAGACGGTAAAGTCACTCATTCCTGAATGGGTGCAGTGAATGAACAGGTCTCCATGTATGTGAAGATGGAGCAGAAACTGAACAGCTTTACAAGGGAGTGCACTGTGGCCATACTCTGTTCCTCACTTGCTGCTTCCAAGCTGAATTTAACAAGGTTGTTTCTGAGGGCTATAAAGTAAATAGTAAATAGGACTTTAGACAGGAGCCCGAGTTGTTAGTGAAACAGGAGGAGGAGGGGAGAAAAATAGGTGACAGACCTGAGCTGCCACTGATTCATAGGCCAGTTCCCTAAGACTGGGCTTTGGCCATCTATTAGTCAAGCTGGCTTAGGGCCCCAAAGACATTCAAAGTCAAGGAAGGAGCTGGGGATGCTGAGCCAGCAGGACTGATGGGAGGACTAACACCAGTACAGGCACAAGGATGGTCATGCTTAAAAGCCAGAGACGATGCATGTCTACCTGGGATCCAGTGTAGGAGAGGATGTGATGAAATCACAAGCTTATTTTAGTTAGGGAAAAAGAGAATAGTGTGATTGCATCCAGGCCAGAGTAAGGGACTGATTTGTACCTGATGTGGAGTAAGCAGGAGGTGACTTGGCAGTGCCTTGGCAACTGGATGCCAAGGCTGGTGAGGAGGAGGGAGGCTGGTTTGGGTCAGATAGGGCCTTGCTGGCCCCAGAAATGTCCCTGTGAGCCAAGAATCCCTACTCTCTGCTGCCTCAAGTGGGGTAGAGCAAGGTACCTCCTGAGCCAGAGTGGTGTGGCTATTTTGAATGCAGCTATTTTGGGAGAGTTCATTGCTGTTTTGTATTTATTTACAAGCTGTTTGGGTTCATCCTTTCTCTGGAGACAGTAGCATTTGAGCATGACCTGAGCCTCTCTTATGAGTTGAGTACTGTGAAGAACCAAAACTTGTTTCTGAGGAGCTGATAGCCTGCTAGACTGTAAGAGGAAGTGGCATAGAGGAGGAGTTAAAGGACTTGAGATGAGAGAGAAATAAAGGTGAGAGCTGGAGAGGACAGGGCTGGAAAGGTAGCTTGCCTTAAAACCCATAAAATTTTCTGAGGTGCAAAGGAGAATTGGGAGAGCATTCCAAATGGGAGGGAACAGTATAAGCAAAGGCAAAGGCTTGAAGGGCCTGGTAAGCTTCACGAGGACGTCTGTGACAGGTTTGGATGGAGACGTGTGCATAGGGCACCAGGGGCAGAGGGGTAGGGAGTTGGCCAGTTTGGTTAGAGCCAGATCATAGACTTTTTAAAAAATGTTTTTATTGATTTTTTGGAGAGAGAGGATTGGAGAGAGAGATAGAAACATTGACCAGCTGCCTCATGTGCCCTGACCAGGAATCGCACCCAGACCTCTCAGTCCATGGGACGATGCTCAGTCTACTGAGCCGTACCAGCTGAGCAGATCATAGACTTTGTGATTCTCTGGGCAGCGAAAGTTAGCATAGACTTGGCTACTTGTTCTGTGCTTACATTTCTTGCCAAGGTCAGGCCTGACCTTTGGTCTCTACATTTTGAGGAAAAGAAGGAGGAGGCCAGGGGCCTGATAGTCTGTCTTCCTCCACTAGATTGTTAGCTCCAAGAAGACAAGGGTTTCTGTTCATTGCGGTATCTCTGCACTTAGAACCATGCCCAGCACATAGAAAGCAAAGATAAATATTTGTGTTTAGAACATGATATAAAACCTAGGGCAGCCACCCAAGATCCAGGCCTAACTCATCACGTGGCTGTCAGAGCCCCCAAGTCCAACCACTGGGATCAGCCTGAGTATGGCTTCAAGGAGCAAGGTGACAGGAAGGGATGGTAAATTTATGGCTGCCTTGTGCCCACTTCTGAGCTGCACTATCTTCTTTGGGAACCATAGAACTGCCTGATAAAGAGGGATGAAAATGGTTACTCTGCAGTGGTAGCTGACTTTGGCCTGGCTGAGAAGATCCCTGATGTCAGGTGGGTAGCCCTAATGGGTGCTGGGGTTACAGATGGGACAAAGGCAAAAGGAAAACTCCAGCTTCCTCCCCAGAGGCCAGGACTTGGTCACAGCTCAACCTCATCTCCCTAAATTTGGTCAGTCCTAGTCTGTGCCCATCCTTGAGGGATAAGAATTACCAATATTAAGATGTCTCATTGTACCAGCCAGTGGTAAGTTCATTTTCCATATAACCTCCCCTCACAGCATGGGGAGTGAGAAGTTGGCTGTGGTTGGCTCACCCTTCTGGATGGCACCTGAAGTTCTCCGAGATGAGCCCTATAATGAGAAGGTGAGACTGGGGACCCCAAGGTTCAGTTCTCCTTAGAATCCTCTCTTAGCAGTGTCCTGGATCACCCTTTATGTTCAGGGTGAGGATCTACAACCAAGAGCGGGGCTGGTACCTGGCAGCTACCCAGTGAATGAATTGAATGAAATATGGGCAGTAGGGCCCAGGTCTGGGCGGGTGGACATGAGGGGCAGAAACCTCAACTTTCCCTCCCCTGAGAGGGAAACTGAGGTCTTACTACCTACCAGGCGGACGTGTTCTCTTATGGTATCATCCTCTGTGAGATCATCGCCCGCATCCAGGCTGATCCAGACTATCTTCCCCGCACAGAGGTGAGCTTCAGGCATGGGGATCAGTGAACTGGGGTGGGGCCGCTTTTAAGGCTGTGGAACTGTCTTGTTCTTGGAGTAGAGTTGCTGGAACTTAGTCTTTGTGGCTACTTCTCAGGGGACATTCCCAGCCTCTCCTTCTGAGCAGGCCAGGATGGATGGAGGGATTAATGACCTGTCTATCCATGTTCCCTGTTCCCTCCCCACTATATCCATTCACAGAACTTCGGGCTGGATTATGACGCTTTCCAGCACATGGTGGGAGACTGTCCCCCAGCCTTTTTGCAGCTTACCTTCAACTGCTGTAATGTGAGTGTCTCCCCTCGCCCCCAGCTTTGGTCAGGGGGAGCTGGATTCACCTGGTTAGAACTGCAGGGAGAGGCTGATAATCACCCTCACAAGGGGCCTCATTTTCACTGATGAATTACAGTGCCCATGTCCCCTCCTCTGGGGCCTGCCAGACTCTTAAGAGCCCTGGACCAAGGAAAGAAAAATTGCTTTGTAATATCTGATCTTCAGCCGGCAGGGTAGACCCACTACCCCTTGCTTTGGATGCTGGTGGAGCTCTGGTCAAGTTTTAGTTAGAGTGGGTGTGGATCCAGCTGGTCCTAAGGTTGATGGGAAAGACTCTTTTTAGCTTTCATTTTATGCAGCTCTGGGACTGGACCTACCTGTTATGACCAAGTAGTAGCTGGGCTATGTCTAGGTAGCTTTGAGAAACACATTAGCAGCAGCACTCAAGAAAGAATAGAACAAACCAATGTGAACATGCTCTTTTGGTGGGTTCTGTGCCAAACAAGGAGATAAGACACAAAAAGGGTGCTGAGATAGGGGAGGGTATTAGACAATAGCATCTTCGCTGACCTTAGCTCTGGGAATCATCCTCATGGTCTGCAGCCTTCAGAAAAGGTCTCTTAGCTGCACATCTAAGTCTTAAAAGATACTAGAAACAGACTAAAATGCTATCCTTGGGGTGGAAGGTAGGCGGGCAGGGCTAATGGCTGCTGTGGATGACTACAGATGGACCCCAAACTGCGCCCATCCTTTGTGGAGATTGGGAAGAGCCTAGAGGAAATTCTGAGCCGCCTACAGGAGGAAGAGCTGGAGAGGGACAGGAAGCTGCAGCCCACAGCGAAGGGTAAGAGATTAGGGTTGTGGGGTTTCCCCCTCTAGGGCTGTGATTGCAGGATCCAAAAGAAAGGTGGAGGGGCAGGGGGACAATGGAAAAAGTACTGATCTCCAAGAGTTGTGACTTGGTATATCACCTCCCTTCAAGTCTGTTTTCTCACTGGTGAAATGGGGACAACAGTACCTACTTTGTTTTCCCAAATAAAAATACTTTGTGTAGTGCTTCTATTTGTTATGACTAGTAAAGTAACCCTGACTTGATGTACTCTTTTTCAGGACTCCTGGAGAAAGGACCTAGGGTGAAGCGACTGAGCTCACTAGATGAGAAGATACCTCCCAAATCCCCACGCCCAAGACGTACTATCTGGCTGTCTCGAAGCCAGTCAGACATCTTCTCCCGTAAACCCCCACGTACAGTGAATGTCTTGGACCCCTACTACCAGCCACGAGGTGGTGCTGCCAGCACCCCCAAAATCAACCCTTTCAGTGCTCGCCAGGACCTCAAGGGTGGCAAGATCAAGTTCTTTGATCTGCCCAGCAAGTCTGTTATCTCCCTGGTATTTGACCTGGATGCACCAGGGCCTGGAACTTTGCCTGTGGCTGATTGGCAGGAACCCCTGGCTCCACCTGCTCGGCGGTGGCGTTCCTTGCCTGGTTCACCAGAATTCTTGCATCAAGAGGTCTGTCCATTTGTAGGCCGAGAAGAATCACTGTCTGACGGGCCCCCACCACGTCTCAGTAGTCACAAGTACAAAGTAAGAGAGATCCCACCATTCCGAGCATCTGCCTTACCAGCTGCTCCAGCCCATGAAGCCATGGACTGCTCCAGTTCCCAGGAAGAAAATGGTTTTGGGCCCAGGCCTCAGGAGATCAGTCCACGCCTTGCAGGTGCCTCTGAGGAGATGGAGGTGGAAGAAGAAAGGCCAAGAGTTTTGGCTCCAGTCCCCTTCTCTGTCTTAGGCATAGGCCTGAAAACCCAGGGAGAGCAGGATGGGTGAAAGGGGTTAATCCCTACTTTACCTTGGGGATGGACCTTCAGCTGAAGCCACAGGGCCCCCTTGGTGCACAGCCTTGACTCTTCCCTAGGGCCCACAGACAGGCTAGGCCAAGCCAGGCTCAACTTTGGGATTCCCAATGTCCCATAGCTGTGAGAAGGGAGACAGCAATGAGAAGCCTTCCTCGTTAGGGCCAACAGCTCATACCAAGCGTCTGAAATCCTGCAAGGAGCTCTGGCTCCCACCAGCCCCCACCCCCACCCCACCCCCACTTCTGCAGACAGGATCAGAGGACTTCTAGTTCTAGTTTGAGCTGGCAGGCAGTTATTACCCCAGGTCTGTCTCTCACCCTTTCCTGGGGCATATAAGCTACTGGATGGAACCTGGAGCTGACCAGGCCATAAAGAGCATGACTATTTCTCAGACCTGAAGACTGGGGTGCTTCTTGCCAGTTTGTCTAAGACACTTGAATAATTGCTATTTGCACTTACTGCACAGTCAGACCACGTCACTACATTTCTATGCAAGGGGAGGGCAAGGCAGCGTGGTGGTCATGGCTCTTAGCTAACCTATTCAAAGATCTTTTCCAGTTGATTAACCTATTTTCATATTTATGAAGGAGTCTTAATGTTCTGCCCTATAAAGCTTTCAACCTTGTGGTTGGGAGTGGGGCTGGTTTTGTAGGCCCTAGGGCCTGCTCTATGTATTTGTC